TACCTCATAGGCTGTTATCAGGATTAGATGTGTTAATACATACTCAGCACCTAGTATAGTGCCAGCCTGACCCAATTGCTCAGTAAGTATTAAAGCTATTTAATTTTTAAAAAATTATTTTACTTAGTTAAAAATTTTTATTATAGTTGCTTTACAATGTTGTGCTAGTTTCTGCTATAGAGCAACGTGAATCAGCTATGTGTATACATGTATCACTTCTTTTTCGGATTTCCTTTCCATTCAGATCACCACAGAGCACCGAGGAGAGTTCTTTGTGCTACACTAGTTATCTATTTTATACATAGTATACTTGCTCCTTGGAAGAAAAGCTATGGCAAGTCTAGGCAGCATATTAAAAAGCAGAGCCTTCACTTTGCCAACAAATTTCCATATGAAGCTATGGTTTTTCAGTAGTCATGTACGAATGTGAGAGTTGGACTGTAACGAAGGCTGACTGCCGAAGAATTGATGCTTTCAAATTGTGGTGCTGGAGAAGATTCTTGAGAGTCCCTTGGACAGCAAGGAGATCAAACCAGTCCATCCTAAAGGAAATGAACTCTGAATGTTCTTTGGAAGGATTAATGCTGAAGCTGAAGCTGTAATACTTTGGCCACCTGATGTGAAGCCAACTCATGGGAAAAGATCCTGATGCTGGGAAAGATTGAGAGCAAGAGGAGAAGGGGGTGACAGAGGGTGAAATGGTTGGATGGCATCACCGACTCAATAGACGTGAGTTTGAGCAAACTCTGAGAGATAGCGAGGTACAGGGAGGCCTGGCGTGCTGAAGTCCATGGGGTTGCAAAGAGTTGGACATGACTTAGCAGCAATAACAGTATAGTTTCAGTAGTATATATATGTGTGTTAGCTTTATTTAAAAAGATTATCTTTGAGAGGGAAAGGGTTTTATAGGTCATGTTGTCCATCCTGCAGCTTTCAGGAAGCCCAAACCTTGTATGGTAAGATGTGCTGAAGGTAACAGCTTGCGTGGTCAGTATGTTCTTACTTCCTTCTGGCCAAAACGACTGCCTGAAATCCCCAAGGGAAATGGAGAACAGTAGACACTGGGTAAAGTGTCAGCTGCCTCAGTATTTTTCTGTAAATAAATTAACTGAAAAAGATTTCTTCCTGGCCGCACTGGGTCTTGGCTGCTGTGTGTGGGCTTTTTCTAGTTGTAAGAGCGGGGGCTCCTTGCTAGCTGCGGAGCACGGGCTTTTCCCTGAGGTGGCTTCTCTTGGGGCACAGGCTCCAGAGGGGCACGGGGCCCAGCAGTTGTGGTGTGCGGACTCCAGAGCACAGCTCGCTCGGGCTTAGCTGCTCTGTGGCATAAGGGCCCTTTTCGGACTGGGATTGAACCAGTGTGCCCTGCACTGGCAGCTTGATTCTTACCCACTGAGCCACCAGGCACGTCCACTTCGGTCTTAACGGTTCTTAGCCCGAGTTGAGTTTGTGGTCTGGGGACCTCTGGCGATGCCAAGAGGTATTTTTGGTTGTCACAGCTGGTGAGGGTTGGGGGTGTTGGCATCTGGTGAGTGGAGGCCAGGTTTGCTGCTGATCATCCTAGAGTGCATGGGACAGCACCATCCCCACCCCGAAGAATGATCATCTGGTCTTAAACGTCAACAGTGCCACAGTGGAGAAACCCTGCCACCTCAATGGGAGGCAGACTTCAAAGCAGAAAAAATAGGGGACTCAGCCCACGAGACAGGGGTTTGCCTTCTGACTCTTCCTGTGTCTGCTGTGTAGCCACGAACACGTTCTCAAACCCCGTGGACACGGCATGACTGACGTGAAAGCATGAGTTTAGTCAAGCTGACTGTGAAATGTTACTGAAAGTCATTTGAGAAAATGTAGGTATAATACCAAACACAGTACTCAGCACAAGGTAGCTACTCAAGAAATCTTCATCTACCTCCAATGGAAAATAATTTTTCATTCTCCCTTCAGCCTACTGTATCAGCAGGATGGTTCCAGGTGTGTTTAACTGGCCATCGTTAGTCTCATTTTTCAATTATTTAATCCTATTGTGGTATTCTGCTGAATCCTCTCCAATTTTGTCAAGTCCCTCTGAAGTAGTGCTAGACTCATGCCCCAAGGCTGAGGAAAGAGAGAATTATTGCAGAATTCTTTTACCGACACTCCCATTTATACACGTGTGTGCCTTCTGGATGGAGCCTTATCCTGCCGACAGTTCATGAGCAGGCCACCCCCTTGGGCCTCTCATCTGCCTCTTTATGTCTATGCATTCCTTCTAGCCATTCAAGCTTTGTTCCCTGGATTTTGTAATGAAGAATTATCAATGATAATTGAGAAGAAGATAGATATTTAAAAAGAGCTCAGGAGACAAATGTAAACTGATAAGCACAAACAAGCAAAAGTTAAAAAAAAAGACGTCAGGAGGAAATACAAGAGAACTAAAGGAAGAGAGGATGATATATTCAGTTGCAGGGCAACTTTGGGGATTACCCATCAGGCTTCACGGTGGCTGGAGAAGAGGAACGACGTAACGGGGAAGCAAGCTTGGTCTTGTGGCTTGACAGAAACATCAGTCTGCTGTTTTGGACTCATGGCCAGTTGGCCTCTTGGAATCCATAGCGTGGGGCCCTGAGACCTGGCCCTCTCACAGGAAGTGGCAGGAGAGCGCAGTTATCAAAGTCCAGGCTCTGGAATCAGATGAACCTTGATTTCATCCTGGCTTCACCACTTACTGCATCGAATGTCTAAGGGCAAATGGTTTGCCTCTTCAAGGCTGCCATTTTGCAAGAGTAAAGTTGTAAAACTGGCAATAGTAAGTAAGGATACCTCATCCTAGGAGTGTGCTATAAGGCAATGCATGTAAAACATTGAACACAGGGCTGGACACATTACAAATACTCAGTAATTGTTACTGATGAAGAAGATGTTGACACAGTTGTCTACTCACAAATATGTGCTCTGGTTGTCTAGTCTGGTTGTAAACACATACATACAGGACTGCATGTATATGAAAAACTGAAATCCATACACTGTGTGTATATACACACATGTCTACGACACACATACATATGTACTGTTTAGTTGAAAGTCATTTTTGACTCTTTTGTGACCCCATGGATTGTAGCCCGTCAGGCTCCTCTGTCCGTGAAATTTTCCAGGCAGGAATATTGGAGTGGGTAGCCATTTCCTACTCCAGGATACATATGTATGTGCACGTATATATTTTAGCTTTTCATGCACATGCAGTCATGTTCTGGAGATGGTTTATCTGAATCTATCTCTTCCAACCTCTGGGCTCTGTAACGAATGTCATATTAGTAGCTCAGTCATGATAGGAAAATTTTATGGCATGTGTGTTTAGTCACTAAGCCATGTCCAACTCTTTGCAATCCCATGGACTGGGGCCCCACCAGGCTCCTCTGTCAATGAGATTTTCCAGGCAAGAATACTGGAGTGGTTAGCCATTTCCTTCTCCAGAGGATCTTCCCATGGCGTATGCCATGTCTCCTTCACTGTAGGCAGATTCTTTCACCACTGAGCCACTGGAGAAGCCCATTTTATGGCGTAGAAACTGGTAAACCTAAACATCAAGGTTCCCCAACCCCCCAGCCCCCCAACCCTCCGGAGAGCCAGTTTACTGGGAGACCACTGTGCCTGTGCACCTTGCATCTCCAAACTCCTTTAGGGCTGGGGATGTGCTGAATTCAGCCCTTGACCCCTACAGGGCTTTGCATGTGTCTTTTGTGTAGCAGTCTTCAAAGGATGGACTGGGCCAAAAGGATCAAAGGGTGAGTGGATGAAAGCAAAGGACAACCTATGCAGAAATGGAGCTAATAAAACAGACAAACTTGTGTCAGGAAAACTGGTAGGCTAGTAGCCAGGAAGGGAGTGAAGGATCAAGACGGGGAGTGTTTGGATGGGTAAAAATGGTCTGGTGATAGGAAAGAAGGGCTCTAGAAATAAAAAGTCAAGAAAGAAAGTGAAATTCGGGACAAGAGTGGACTCCATACAGTTTCAGACCACCACTGGTAGTGTAGTTTTGGGGTTCCATTCTTTTAGATGAGTGGCATTTGTTCAGAATGTTGGGACAATTAAAGAATTATTTATAAGAAAAACAAAAAATTGAATTCAATGTGATGTCTAAGAGGAGGGAACTGGTAAAGTAAACAGAATACATTCATTTTGTAGAATACTTTGAGGTCATAAAGAATGATGGAAAGTTGCAATAAAGTGCAGTCAGAGCAATGGGAAAAAGGAGGAAAAACTTGAACAATGTTATTCACAACATCAAGGGGAAAAAGCAGGTTAAAAGTTGCATGTAGAATCACTCAGTTGTAAAGATATGCATGTACAGAGAAATATCTGAAAGAGTATATATTAAAAGTATTAATAGTAATTACTTTTTGAAGGGGATTTTTTCTTCCCTTTTCTTTTTTGCTTATTTTTTTTCCTATTTTTTATTGTTCTTTTTTTCCTGTTTAGAATATTTCTGTAATTAAAAAATGAAAACATTAAAAATGTGTTTTCAACTCTGTCTGTCTACTCCTTATTGTCTCCATGCGTGTGTGTTAGTCACTCAAGCATGTCTGATTCTTTGTGACCCCGTGGACTGTAGCTTGCCAGGCTCCTCTGCCCCTGGGATTCTCCAGGCAACAGTATTGGAGTGGGTTGCCATTCCCTTCTCCAGGGCATCTTCCTGAATCAGGTACTGAACCCGGGTTTCCTGCACTGCAGGCAGATTCTTTACCATCTGAGGCACTAGGGAAGATCCCCCCTGCCCCGACCCCCATCCTCTCTCTATATATATATAAAACTGACTTTTAAGGATATGGCTTCCTGAATATTGTTAGCAAAGTGGCTGAGAAAAGATCTGTGGACTAAGGAAGGATTTTCTCCCACTTGCGAATTTATCTAAATATCTCAGAAATTTTATACTGATTTAACAAATCACAGTTAGAACTCTTAAACACTTCAATATATTGCTTTGATTAAACATAAGTCAGCTTTCTGAAATTGGGACCATCCTAAGGAATCATGAAGTCTGCACTGGGACTGGGGTCAGGAGTGTTGCATTGTTGAACGGTGACTCTCCAGAACAGCTGGAAAAGCTAGAGGGTTCCAGCAGAATGACAAGACAATTCCAAACACAGCAGCCTCCCAGAAATGCAGTGCTGGCGATCTAAAGACTCCAGACCCCGCAACGGCTCCACTGAACTAACTCGGTGTCTAATGAATGGCAGGTGTTAGGACGCAGGCAGGAGTTTCCTGTGGCAAATCCTGTTGCACAGATGGAAGATGCATTTCTGCCTGCAGGAAAGTAGTTTAGCGGGAGGTAGACCCGTGAGCCGAGATTTCCAATAAAGTACCATCGGAGCCATGAGTGAGCAGGCACAGGAAAGGAAGTTTTCATCTTCTGGGAGGACAACGGAAGAACTGGAAGTTTTCTCCATATTCCATTTTTCTGAGAGGCAACGTGGTGCAGTGACAAAGAGCCTGGACTCTGGAGCTGCAGGGAAGGAGTTTAACTTCTGGCTCATTGTACCTCTTGAGTAGGTGACTTGGCTGCTCTGTACCTCAACTGACCAATCTGTGAAATCGACATAACATGAGTCCCTGACGCATGGGCTTTTGTACGGATTCAATGGGGCAATAATATATATCAGGCACTTGGAGCAGTGCCTGGCACGCAGGAGGTACAGTGGAAATGTTTCATGTAATATTATTTCTTGGTCTCCTTCGTCCTTCTCTCTACTCTCCTTTCCTCACCATTCTGTCCTCTTTCCCCTCCTCCTTTTTCTACCCTTCTCTGCCTCTCTCATCCTCCCCACAGTTTAGATTTCCATCATTGATGGACTAGTCCCTATCTTCTGAGATAAAATTGAATCTTTCTCTGAGATTTTTTTTTTTCTTCCAGGATAAATAAGACCTTACCTTTTGATACTTCCAAGAGAAGACCTTACATTTTGATACAAACTGGTGCTAGGGAGCCTGGTGGGCTGCCGTCTATGGGGTCACACAGAGTCGGACACGACTGAAGCGACTTAGCAGCAGCAGCAGCAGTTCTCTACAGTGCAGATGACCTTGACCTTGCATTGCCACGTGGATCAAGCCCAAGGCCACTGGATGATGTCACAGATATGAGCATCCTGTCTTCTGGAGCCAGCTAATGTTGATTTGCTACAGCTGTTAATAATTTACCAGCACAGAAAATAAAGAGAATTCTGCTACACCAGAAGAGGGATCTTTCATTATTTTTATAGCAGTCTCTTTATGATGGGAATGATCTGGCCTTTGGAAACTCCATGTGGTCTATGAGATTATTAACTAAGTGAGAACCAATATTATATGTGTTGGGTAATTGGTGGGTGGGTCGATCACGGGGCAGTGTGTGTGTGTGTGAGATGGGCTTACAGCCTAGGGATGCATAAGGACTTATATAGGGCACAGGAATTAATTGTGGTAGATCCACAGTTTCAGATGAATTCAGTCATGTTGCTATTGAGTTTTTAGGGGAAAAGCAGGTGAAGAGTCTTGGAGAAGGGACATACCATAAAGTATGCATGTGCATGCTGAGTTGCTTCAGTTGTGTCTCCTTGAGACCCATGGACCATAGCCATACACCACAATGCACAAAAAGCACACTACGGATGCCTGGGTGTTTATTGAGCTATTACCATCTTTAGAGGTACTAAGTAGTAACACTCTAAAATTAAGCATGAGAATTATGATTTGATCTATATAGAATTTAGCATTGTGGTCACTTAAAGGGAGGTAACAAGGCATGACCAGGAGCTCCAACGTTATAATCTGAGCCTTAAGAAATTCAAACCTGACAAAACTTCATGGTACCTCTATCAAAGCCCATTATATTCCTGAACTTTTTCTGTATTTTTAAAAATGCATGTGTGCATGTTCAGTCGCTTCAGTTGTCTCCAACTCTTTTCAACCCAATGGATTGTAGCCCACCCCGCTCTTCTGTCCATGGGATTTCCCAGGCAAGAATACTGGAGTAGGTTGCTATGTCTTCCTCCAGGGCATCTTCCCGACCCAGGGATCAAACCCTAGTCTCTTATGTCTCCTATATTTGCAGGCGGGTTCTTTGCCACTAGTGTCACCTGGGAAGCCCCTCATAAATTTGTCCCCCTTATTTTGCCCTTCCTTTCTTCTTCCTTCTGCTCTATAAAATTTTATCCTGTTAGCAGATGTCTGTCCACATTCATGTTTGAGAAGCTCAGATCCTACCCTTAAAACATTTTAAGCAAAGAATTTTCACTTTTTCTCAAAGGTGAGTATCTGCCTACAAGGATTCTTCTACTGGCTGCTGTGACATATATTGTTGTTTATAAAAGTTAGGAATTTATAAAATATTTGTACATTTCTCATTTTAATCAGCTATCAGAACAAATTTTTTAGGACACTCAGAGATATGTCTTGTTCAAGGCCATGTTCTCACTGGGTCGAAGAACATGTCACTTTTAAACTTTTATGTACTCAGTCAAAATGCCTCCCCAAAGGCTGCACTGATTTTTTACTCCCGTATCTATGGTGCAAGGGTCCTCATTTTCCTATACTTTGTCAACATGGTCTTTCAGTTTTACTAATTTGATGAATTTAAAACATGCCACCATTTTAAACTTTTTCCAATTTACTAGTGAGGCTGGTCACTTTTCATGTATTTATCATCCACTTTCATTTTTTGAATATTACTTATTCATATTCTTTGGTCATTTTCCTGTTGGTGTGTTAAATTATGTATTCTACTGTACCATTTTAATTTCCTTATTGCTTCTTTACTATATATTTTTTGAGTTACTTTCCTAGTGGTTGCCTGGACTTTACCAGAATATCTTAATTTATAACAATCTAGTTTGGAGAAGGCAATGGCACCCCACTCCAGTACTCTTGCCTGGAAAATCCCATGGATGGAGGAGCCTGGTAGGCTGCAGTCCATGGGGTCGCAAAGAGTCAGATACGACTGAGCGACTTCACTTTCACTTTTCACTTTTATGAATTGGAGAAGGCAATGGCAACCCACTCCAGTGTTCTTGCCTGGAGAATCCCAGGGATGGGGTCACACAGAGTCGGACACAACTGAAGTGACTTAGCAGTAGCAGTTCTGATTAATACCATCTTAATTATAATAGCATATACAAATTTTCCTCAGCTATATCTCCTTCTTCCCTTAGGCTATAATCACAAATTAGATATACTAATGACAATCAGCATAGTACATTCATAATCATTTTTAGAAAAACTTTTAATATACTTTCATAATTTATAGAAACATTTTTAAATTATTTTATTCAATTGTCTCCTAAATCATACATGTGAAAAAAAGTCTTACAAAATAAACTTATACTGTCCTTTATATTTACATCTGTAGTTACCTTTATCAGTGCTGTGTATTTCTTTGTGTGTATTTGAATTAGTTTTGTTGTTGTTCGCTCAGTCATGTCCAACTCTTTGTGGTTCCATGGATGGTAGCAAATCAGGCTTCCCTGTTCATCACCATCTCCCTGAGCTTGATCAGATTCATGTCCAGTGAGTTGGTGATGCCATCCAACCATCTCATCCACTGTTGTCCCCTTCTCCTCCTGCCTTCTTTCTTTCCCAGCATCAGGGTATATACCAGTGAGTCAGTTCTTTGCATCAGGTGGCCAAAGTATTGGAGCTTCAGCTTCAGGATCAGTCCTTCTGATGAATATTCAGGACTGATTTCCTTTAGGATGGACTGGTTGGATCTCCTTGCAGTGCAAGGGACTCTCAAGAGTCTTTTCCAACACCACAGTTCAAAAGCATCAGTTCTTCGATGTTCAGCTTTCTTTATAGTCCAACTCTCACATCCATACATGACTACTTGAAAAACCATAGCTTTGACTAGATGGACTTTTGTAGGCAAAGTAATGTCTCTGCTTTTTAATATACTGTCTAGGTTGGTTATAGCTTTTCTTTCAAGGAGCAAGCATCTTTTCATTTCATAGCTGCAGTCATCATCTGCAGCAATTTTGGAGCCCAAGAAAATAAATTCTGTTACTGTTTCCACTGTTTCCCCTTCTGTTTGCCATGAAGTGATGGGACCGGATGCCATGATCTTAGCTTTTTGAATGTTGAGCTTTAAGCCAGATTTTTCACCCCTCTCACTTTCATCAAGAGGTTGTTTAGTTCTTCTTCACTTTCTGCCATACGGGTGGTGTCATCTGCATATCTGAGACTATTGATGTTTCTCCCGGCAATCTTGATTTTAGCTTGTAGCTTCATCTACATTAGATGCTTCATCTAACCCAGCATTTGGCATGATATACTCTGCATATAAGTTCAATAAGCAAGTGACAACATACAGCTTTGACGTACTCCTTTCCCAATTTGGAACCAGGCTGTTGTTCCATGTCCAGTTCTAACTGTTGCTTCTTGACCTGCATACAGGTTTTTCAGGAGGCAGGTAAGGTATTCTGGTATCCCCAACTCTTTAAGAATTTTCCACAGTTTGTTGTGATCCACACAGTCAAAGACTTTAGCATAGTCAATGAAGCAGAAGTAGATATTTTTCTGGAATTCTCTTTCTTATTCTATGATCCAGTGGATGTTGGCAATTTGATCTCTGGTTCCTCTGCTTTTTTTAAAGCCAGCTTGAATATCTAGAAGTTCTTGGTTCATGTACTGTTGAAGCCTAGCTTGGAGAATTTTGAGCATTACTTTTCAAACTAGCGTGTGAGATGAGTGCAATTGTGCGGTAGTTTGAACATTCTTTGACATTTTTTGACATTCTTTGACATTGCCTTTCGTTGGGATTGGAATGAAAACTGACCATTTCCAGTCCTGTGGCCACTGCTGAGTTTTCTGAATTTGCTAGCATATTGAGTGCAACACTTGAACAGCAACATCTTTTAGGATTTGTAAAAGTTCAGCTGGAATTCCCTCACCTCCAGTAGCTTTGTTCATAGTGATGCTTCCTAAGGCCCACTTGGCTTCACATCCAAGATGTCTGGCTCTAGGTGAGTGATTATCTGGATCATTAAGACCTTTTTGGAATAGTTCTTCTGTGTATTCTTGCCACCCCTTCTTAGTATCTTCTGCTTCTGTTAGGTCCATACCGTTTCTGTCCTTTATTGAGCCCATCTTTTCATGAAATGTTCCCTAATTTTCTTGAAGAGATCTCTAGTCTTTCCCATTCTATTGCTTTCCTCTAGTTTTTGCATTGTTCACTTAAGAAGTCTTATCTCTCCTTGCTATTCTTTGGAACTCTGCATTCAAATGGGTATATCTTTCCTTTTTTCCTTTGCCTTTTGCTTCTCTTCCTTTCTGAGCTGTTTGTAAGGCCTCCTCAAACAGCCATGTTGTCTTTTTGCATTTTTTCCTTGGGGATGGTTTTGATCACCACCTCCTGTACAATGTTATAAACCTCTGCCATAGTTCTTCAGGCACTCTCTGTCTATCAGATCTAATCCCTTGAATCTATTTGCCATTTCCATTGTATAATCATAAGGGATTTGATAACTCAGAGGGCTGAGTCTCTCTGTTGTTCACCTGAACATATCACAACACTGTTAATTGGCTATACGCCAATACAAAATAAGAAGTAAAAAAAATAAAATAAAAACACAGAACTCACAGATTCTTTAAGCAAAATAAAATAAAATATATGTAAAAACTGTTTCTCTACATCGGGATTCCTCAGGTACAATTTCTGTTAACTTTTTTTCCTGTGATTGGGCCATACTTTGTTTGCAATTTTGTGATTTTTTTGGTTAAAAACTGGACATTTATAAGCACATAATGTGACAGCTTTGGAAATGATGTTTCCCTTCCCCAAGACTTTTTTTTCCCTCCTACTTGTAATAATTTTGTTTGTTGGATCTCATTCTGTAAAATCTGTTTTCTTTGTATGTGTAGTCTTTGAAGTCTGTACTGAGTTAGCTTAGCAGTCACCTAATGATTGGATAGAGATCTTCTTAAACGTCTGAAACCAGTAAATCTCCCAGTATTTGCCAAAGGGCAATGGGTTGTGCTGGGAGCACACTTCACTACTCAGGTAGGCAGTTTATGGCTCTGCCTTAGCCTTCACCTCTTGTTGTGCAGAGCACCAGACTCAGTGAGAAATGAGAACTTTTAGCCTTCTTAGGTCTTTCATGGATGTGTGACTGTTCACAGGCACATGCGCAGAGCTGTGCATGCAAGGGACCCTTCAGCACCCCAAGAATATTTCGGGCCTTTCCAAAACCTTTCTGAAACTACTTTGGCCATCTGATGCAAAGAACTGACTCATTTGAAAAGACCCTGATGCTGGGAAAGATTGAAGGCAGGAGAAGGGGACGACAGAGGATGAGACAGTTGGATGGCATCGCCAACTCAATGGACATGAGTTTGAGTAAACTCTAGGGGTTGGTGATGGACAGGGAGGCCTGGTATGCTGCAGTCCATGGGGTTGCAAAGAGTCAGGCATGACACAGAGACTGAACTGAACTGAACTGAAAACTCCAATGGACATCTCACTCCAAAACTTTTTCTTTTAATTAAGATTTTTTTTTGATCAGATCGTTATTTGCTGCCACTGTTATTACTGCCTCAGGCAGCTATAATGTTAAGCAATTGCTGCTGATTATTTTTTCCTAAATAAAAGCTCAGGGGAATCCTATTTGTACTGAGCAAGCTCTGAGTCAGGTCAAATAAAGAAAAACCCTGTGAGTGGAATTTTCCAGGAGAGGACCAGATAGGACAAATTATGACAATTCTCTGGGAATAGGGCTTTGGAAGAGTTCCAATTTCATTCTATCTTTTCCAAGGGCTGCGAGGCTGCTGTTTCTCATTGTGATTGCTAGAGTGTTGCTTTTCAAGGCTCCTACAAGTAGGCTGGGGAGAAGGGGCTGGGAATAGGGCAGGTTAAAATACCACAAAGTTCACTGTTCTTACCGAGATTTAGCCATTTTTCTTGAATAACTTCCTCAGGGACTGCTACCAGACTTTGGTTAACTTCCAGAATTCTGAAAAAGTTAATTTTAACAATTTTTTTCTAGATCTTAATTTCTTTAAGATCTTTAAAGATTCTTTAAAGGAGAGGAGGAATTTCAGAGGTCCTTATTTCACTGTTTTCACTGATAAATACTCCTTATATTAATTACTTTTAAATTGTATGCACAGATATAAATGAGTATTATGCAAACACATACACACAGCTATATATTTTTCTGTAACACTTGCCTTATTTATACCTCATGAGTTTTGATATGTATCTTCATTATCATTTATTTATTAATATTTAAAAATTTTCTTGTTTTCTTCCTTATCACTCTCCTCTCATGTTTTTATTACCAAGAGAGTTTGTTATTTCTTCTCCTTCTTCTTCCACTTCTTTTTCTTCTTCCAGTATTGCTTCAGTATTTATTTAGACTAAATTATAAGCTTTATTCATTTATTTGTTTAACATTATTTCTTAAATTGCACATCTTTCTTTTTAAACTAATTTTTCAGTTTTTTCCCTTTAGCACTCCTGAGTAATTCTTCAGTGGAAGTCTTGATGCAATTTTTTTTTTTTTTTTAGTTAAATTTCTATTTGTTTTTCAACTATTCAGTACAGTAAAATTCCGCTTTGGTTCAACAAAAGGCTTTGATAGTTTCTTGTATTTGATTGGAATTATGCTGGAAAATATTTGCTTTTGGGACCAAAAAACAATTACCCTTGAAATAGCAACTATTCATTTCAGCTTTTAATGACTAAAAATGTCTTTATTTTATGGTTGTTTTGGTAAATCTATACTTCTAAGTTCAAAATAATTTTCTCTGTTCATTTGGTTTTTTTGTCTTCCAAAATCCAGTGTTGTTGAAGAAGAGTTTTATGTCAGTCTGTTTCTTGTGTCTTTATCTTTTAAAGATAATTTTCCTTTCTGGCCATTTCAAGGAATTTTTTTTTCTTTTGGATCATAGGTGTACTAAAATTTAATCAGGCACATAGCTCCATTAATTGCTAGTTGTAAGTACTTGAGAAAAGTTGTTAGCATTTTTCTAATTGGTTGCTTCTTTTGTAACATGGGGAAAATGCTGGTTCTAAACTCAGGTTTTCTATGAGGGTTAAGATATATATTGTATAGAAATCACTTAGCCCAGTGCCTCGCTCTGAAAGAGACAAGTTTTTCTAGGCATTGTATTATTTACTTCATTTTACTCAATGAGCTATTTTAATCTAAATGCTCATTCTTTTTTCCACTGAGCACTTTTTCTATTAGTTTTCTGATTTTTTTCCTTTTCTTATTTTCTCTTTTCCTCTCCAAGTAGAGTTAGACCTCTTTGATAGATTCTTCAAATATCTTAACTTTTCTGTTTTATATATATATATGTACATGTATATATATGTTTTGTATATATATATAGTTATATATATATGTTTTATATATACCTATAAAACTTACCTTTTATATATAGGTTTATAATGTATATAACTACAGGTTTTATATAAAACCTACTTTTTTCCTTATGTACTTAGATATCTTGTTTTAGGTCTTATCCTTCGCATGGTTTCTTTTCCTTAAGTCTCTAGGGACCTCATTTGGTTTCTACGTTCTAGGAATTTCTTATTGTATCTAGTCTCTCTATGGTGTGCCTTCTTGGTTTTCAGCATTTTTATGGATTTATTCTAACAACAACAAAACCCAAAAAACTATTGCTTATTATTTTAAGAGATGTGGGCAAGAGTTAAAGTAGTTAATAACTTAAATCATAATATTGATTCCATCTCTTGCTTTTCTGTCCCTCCCAAAGATCATTTTAAGATAATTTTTTTTAAGATTTCAAAATTCAGGTTCTCTATAGAAATTTTGGAAGCATAAAAGCAAGAAGCATTGACATTAATTCCACCATCATTCTAGAGAGAATATTAACATTTTATTGTTTGTAACTTCTAGCTTTTTATGCATATGAAAAATGGAATCCTACTGTACATTTGTTCTCATAACATGTAACATACATGTAACATGTATATGCACATATATTGTGAGCATATTTATGTTATTAATCTTCTAAACATTATTTCTTAGTAAACATATAATATTATATTTACATACCAACATAGACTTGATCATCTCATTGTTGAACATTTCTGTTTTATTAGTACAGTGATTTGCATCCTCACAGAAAAATATTTGCACAAGTCTATGGCTATATCTTTGTCTAGAATACTGGGGTGAAAGGACTTGTAGAGATTTTTCTCCCCCATTATTTGAAAAGGAAGTCCGGAGAAAGTTGTATGAAATCATGGTCCTACCGGCAGCAAGGGCTGGGATTTCATGGAAGAATTCCTAACCTTTGAAGAAGGAATCCAGCTTCATTGAATACAGTGCTTTCCAAAGCTAGCCAGTCATCAACATCACCTGGGGTGCTTCTTTAAATTACAGATTTTAGGACCCACCCTTGGAAATTCTAATTTACTGTGTCTAGTGCTGAGCCTAGGAATCCATATTTTTAACGAGCTCCCTGGTGATTCTAATGATTAACTGGGTTTAGGAAACAAGATCTCACAACTGAAGGGTCTGGGGGTGGGAGCAGGTGGGCTGACAGTGAGGACTGACCCAGGTGTTTCCCAGTAGGGGAGGTAGAGACGGTGAGAACCGAAAAAGGGCGTTTTTGAAAGCAGGATTGACCACTCTGGGGACTTTTTAAACAAGCAGAGCAACAGCGCAAGCTCTCAGTGAGGATGAAGACGTGGAGCATCAGACACTTGGGCGGCTCCCTTTCCATCTCTGGTTCTCGGCATTCGTGTAAACGAAGGGGTGGACTCATCGGAGGCTTTTCCAACTGTGGGAGCCCAAAGCCACAGTGGTGGAGGGGTGGCTGAGTGGGTGGAAGTCCAGGCTTTGCCCCAGCCCGCCCTCCCCAGGGCCCCCGACTCTGCTTTATATTGAGGTCTCTTTTAAGGTTTTCTTTGGAAAAACGTTATCGGCTGCCAAGAAGTTTGACAATCTCCAGACTAGATGACCTTTCAGTTCTAAAAAGTCATATAAGTTTGTGAACAAAAGCCAGGGGGAGGAGGAACAGTCCAGAAGATGGGCTTGAGCAAAACAGAAGAACAATCCAGAATGGGCATTTCAGTCCTCCTTTTAACCTGAGGACTGACCCTTTGGGTTGTGGCAGGAGCTCCCAGCTTCCATCTCAGGATCAGTGTACTGCCTGAGTCAGCTCAGAGTGACCTCCAAGGAAAATTCTGGTGGCCTTCCCATCAGATTCTTATATTAAATTTGCAGGGGGACGTCCCTCCCTTCCCAAGGCCAGGAAGCCCAGAGAAATCACGAAGGTTCCTCTGCTAATAGGTTGGTCATGTCTTCCTGTTTGCAAGTGTTTCAACAATAGGGTATGTTTGACCTTCTTTTGGCCTCCTTTCAAGCTGGGAATTTAAGGTGTTCTCTGAATGCAGGGCAAACAAAGCTTCGGCTAACTTGCTGCTTTGATCTCTGAGAATTCATAGGAGCAAGAAGGGAGGAGATGGGCCAGGGGCCCTGGAGGAATTAACTGTGAAAACCTGGCCAGGCTTTGTTGGATGGGGAAGCTGGGGTGGGGTGTCGGGTGTCTGGGGAACAGATGTGAGCCCGACTTGATCTTCTGCAGCTGCAGACAGAGGTTTGCCAGAGGTGAACGCGGGTTCCCACAGAGGCCGTAAGTCCTCTTGCTGTCGCCCACCCATCAATGGTCTCTTCTCCCGCTGGAGCTGGACTTACTGCAGAGCTTTTGCAATCTGATTCCAGCGCCTATGCTAACAGGTTGGATGGAGAAAGTGTTTCTTTAGAGAGACCGGGGATTTGATGGGTTTTATCTCTGTGTTATTATACTCATTTCTAAACATTCCAGAGAGGTGATGGAGAGACAAAAACAGCCTTCTTCTGTAACCTTTTACTGCCTTGTGATCTCAGTTGAGATGGTGGGCAGGGCAAGGTGGGGCTGGGTCAGAAAGTGAGCGGCTTTCTCCAGAGCAGCCAGTCTCTGAGTATGTTCTGTGGAATACTTGTCCCAAGAGATGCTCCGAAAGGTTCATAATCAGATAGGTTTGGGCAATTCTGCAAGTCATGTTTTCTTCTGGAGATTCACAGCACACATTTGAATACTAGGGGCTCTGAAACATCCTAGAGTCAAGAGTCAGAAGTCTTTGATTTCTTGGACTTTGTTGAGCTGAAAACTTGTCCAACTTAACTGACCAGGAGCCATCATCTTTTTGGGTGAGGTAGTTCAGTTCAGTTCAGTCACTCAGTTGTGTCCAGCTCTTTGCGACCCTATGGGCAGCAGCATGCCAGACTTCTCTGTCTATCGCCAACTCCCGGAGCTTGCTCAAACTCATGTCCATCGAGTCGGTGATGCCATCCAACCATCTCACCTCTGTTGTCCCCTTCTCCTCCTGCCCTCAGTCTTTTCCAGCATCAGGGTCTTTTCAGATGAGTCAGTTCTTAGCATGAGGTGGCCAAGGCATTGGAGTTTCAGCTTCAACATCAGTTCTTCCAATGAATATTCAGGGCTGATTTCCTTTAGGATGGACTGATTGGATCTCCTTGAATCCAAGGGACTCTCAAGAATCTTCTCCAACACCACAGTTCAAGAGCATCAATTCTTCAGTGCTCAGCTTTATTTATAGTCCAACTCTCACATCCATATATGACTACTGGAAAAACCATAGCCTTGACTAGAAAGACCTTTGTTGGCAAAGTAATGTCTATGCTTTTTAATGTGCTGTCCAGGTTGGTCATAGTTTTCCTTTCAAGGAACAAATGTCTTTTAATTTCATGGCTTCCGTCACCATCTGCAGTGATTTTGGAGCCCAAGAAAATAAAGTCTGTCACTGTTTCCATTGTTTCCCCATCTATTTGCCATGAAATGATGGGACCAGATGCCATGATCTTAGTTTTCTGAATGTTGAGCTTTAAGCCAACTTTTTCACTCTCCTCTTTCACTTTCATCAAAGGTTCTGAGGCAGAGACATCAATTAATATCAAGTGGATCACACTTCAGGAAAGGCTAGTCTATAGGCTGCAGAAATAGAAGGTTCTTCTTGGTGTCCACAGTGGGGAGGGGTTCCTGGAGCATCTCCTTTTGCCCTTGGTGGCATCAGTCACCCAGGAGTTCTTCCTAGGAAACCCACTCCTCTACATTATTCTAATAGTCAGAGTAGCTCTGCTTTTGATTTTATTTGGAGGAAAAAAAATCTGTAAACTGAAACATGGTTGAATCAAATTCCCACATAGAGGAAAAAATTTCAGAACCTAGACTGAGTCTATTTCTAATTCCCAGCTCCATATTTTCTTCCTATTGAAACAGCCAAAAGAGGCTCAGAGGCACATTCTCAGAATGTGGCATCCTCTCGGCCACAGTAAATGATTCAGGAAGGGGTAGTTGACCCATTAGCCAATCAACCCCCAATAAAGCTTATCTTGGGAACTTTGGTTGAGCAACTTATAAGCAGGTATTGTCTTTTCTACTGCACTTGTGAGGATGCAAGCTTGTTGAACCCACCTTTCCATGAGGGAGAACCTGATAAAGAAATCAGTTAAGAGATGGGGAGAGACTGGATACAAATGAATCATTTGTGTGCCTGGATCCAACCAAGCCTGAAGTCGGTGTGATTTGTTTTTGCCAATATTAGCAGAATTTTCTGTTGTAGAAGCTTGAATTGTCTTTATTCTTACAGTACTCATCAGAGATCTCTTGGAACTAAACATCCCAGATGATAAGAATTGATTTCTCTTTTTTCCCTGAGGTATAATTGATTTACAATGTTTCTGGTATAGAGCAAAGTAATTCAGTTTTATATACATATATATATGTATATATATATATATATATATACATGTGGGTATATATGCATATTATTTTTGGATTCTTTTACACTATAAGTTATTATAAGATATTGAATATAGTTTCCTGTGCTATACAGTAGGTCCTTGTTGGTTATTTTATGTATAGAAAGTGTTGTCAGACCCAAATTCCTAGTTTATCTGTCTCTTCTATTTTCCCTTTGGTAACCATAAGTTATTTTATGCCAGTAGGTGCATTTCTGTTTTGTAAATAAGTTCATTTGTATCATTTTTTTTAGATTCCACTTGTAAGTGATATCACATGATATTTATCTTTTTCTGTCTGATTTACTTCACTTAGTATGATAATCTCTGGCCCATCCATGTTGCTGCAAATGGCATTATTTCATTCTTTTTTATGGGCTGCATAATATTCTATTGTTTTATATATAATATTCCATTATATATATGTGCATATATATATACACACATCTTTATCCATTTCCTCTGTGAATGGACATTTAGGTTGCTTCCATGTCCGGGCTATTGCAAATAGTGCCGTAATGGACCCTGAGGTGCATGGGTCTTTTTGAATTAGAGTTTTCTCCAGATATATGTCCAAGAGTAGGATTTCGGGATCATATGGTAACTCTATTTTTAATTTCTTAGCAAACCTCTATACTATACCAATTTACATTCCCACCAACAGTGTAGGAGCATTCCAATAAGAATTCATCTCACTACATCCTTGTAGCTTACTCCACTCCTAAAACCAGAGCAAGCAATATCAAAGAAATTGTTATAATAATCATCATTAATTAGTAATCAATAACTCTTTTTTTGAGTAGAAGATATGAAAGTTTATCAGTCCAAAAGCCCCATCTCATTCTTCAGATTTGAATCCTGCCTGCTTGTCATTTTACTTTCCGGTCCTGGGGTGACTGCAGATCAAGCCTCATCCTTCCCCCATAAAAGCGTTTCTGCATTTTTGAAAGTAGCGAAGTCTTCTCTCTTACACACCAAAACACATCCCTAGCCTTTCCTAGAACAGCCAGTTTGGGTGTTTCTCACTGTTGCACCATGAACACGCTCTGGATGGCTTCTGAATTTCTTCCAACTCAGGTTGCTTTCATGGATGAAGCCTAAAGCAGCGTATGCCCATTGTAGCCTATTTAGAAAAGCAAGAAGAGGAAAATGAACACTCACCAGCGGCTGAGCTGCCAAGAGATGGCTGTAGTCGTCATAGCGGATCAACAGTATTTCTTCATTTTTCTCTTTGTGCGTGTGGACGAACGCATGCACGGCTCTGCTGGAAGTTTGCTGCCCTTCCCCTCCCCTCTCGTTGCCTGGGAGGCTGGGCTGCCGTGGACCACACCTGAAGCAGATCTTCTGTGGCCCCCAGGTCCAGGTGGGTTTGGACCGTGGGGTGCTTGGGCACAGATCTGGCTTACGAGAGAGGTCAAGGTGCTGACGTCTCTGTTTCCTCCCGGGAAATCGCCTGGGGCTTGTGTGTCCATCAGCTGGCCGCTTCCCCTCCCAGGGAAGCTTGCAGAGCTGCTTCTGCCCTTGATCCGTTGCTAGCTCTGGGCTATCCTCATGGTCCTTTTTCTCACCCCTTCATCCGTATACTCCCCTGTGGGTGTCCTATTTGAACGTGCCATCTGTTTCCAGTAGGGATTTTGACTGAAAAACTCGTATTTTACAAATAGAAACATTCTCTGTGGAGTGATTTATAATCTGCTGTGTCATTTCTTGGGATACTGAAAACCTCTCTTTATAGTGTTTAACATTCCTTTACAACATCATTGTGAATGGCTGAGTGGGTTTTTATTTTTAACAAATGTACCATGGTTTATTTAAACCTTGAGAACTAGAGAATTAATTTTTTTCTCCAATTAACTTTTCCCCTATTACTTTGGAAGTACTTGGATGAATATCCTTGCAGGTAAATCTTCACACACATTCATCATTTCTTCTTCAGGATAAATTTGTAGAAACAAAATTGCTGGATCTATAGACATGAACATTTGGAAAAAGTTCTCTGTCTGTTGCCGGATAGCCCTCCATAAAAGTTTTATAGCAATTTACAAACTGTTTCCAATTGTGCCTAGGAAGATTGCTTCTTACATTCTCTCCACTGTTTAATACTACAGCGAAATAGTGACCTCACTGAATCTTCCCAGCACTGTGCTTGGCAAGTAGTAGGTGTTCAGTTAATGACAATGCCCCACCCCTTTCCCACAAAGAAATGTATTTTTACCCTTAGGGTTTCCATCAATAAGAACCTCCACATGCACACTCACACTCACACATATGGGTGCACACCCACGGGTCTTCTCATCTCTACCTGCAAGTTGTGTGTTGCTCCTCCAGTCTCGGTATTTTAGAAATGATATATCTATTCATACTACCAAGAGGACCATCACCCTTCCATAAATCCTTGGACAGAAGGAGATCCAGGAAGTCCCAAGTCCACTGGGTCCTAAAGAAAGAAATCACAAACTCTGTCACCAGGACATGCGCAGACGCTGCACCCCCAGCCAGGGCTTAGCTTTAGCTTGGATGAGTTCAGGAAGCAGGAGAGGGTCTGGTGGAACAGTCTAGAACCTGCTTCCTCTGCTGGCTGCCCCATAACTGACGCTGAACATTCTCCAAGCCTCCTTCCTGCTCCCATGGTTCTGACTAGTTCAGAACTCCGAGCTGACACCCATAGCACCTGAATTCCCATCGTTCAGTCGCTAAGTCATGTCCAACTCTTTGTGACCCCATGGACTGCAGCACTCTAGGCTTCCCTGTCCATCACCAACTCCCAGAGCTTGTTCAAACTCGTGTCCATTGGGTTGGTGATGCCATCCAACCATCTCATCCTCTGTTGTCCCCTTCTCCTCCTGCCCTCAATCTTTCTTAGCATCAGAGTCTTTTCCAATGAGTCGACTCTTCCCATCAGGCAGTTGAATTTTACCATCTCAGCTTGCCTGGGAAATCTCTGAGAAAACTGGATGTTTTGAAGTTTGGAAAACTGGACCTTTCATTACTGCCAGCTCCAGCGGGCTTAATCCAGACCCGGTGTCCCCATGGGCCCTCAGGAAAGATCTGCTTATGGATTGGTTACGACACTCCATCACTTTCAATGTTCTGTTTTGAAACCCAGTGGCAAAGTCCAGAACATTCTCTGATTTTATTTTTATTGGAGTCCAGGAATCAGACAGGGACTCTCTCTGGTCCCCGGAGACCTACAAAGGCCACTCCTTAAACATTTCTCACAGACCCTGTCCCGAGAGACCCAGGCAAGCATACAGCCTGGAGACCCATGGGGCGTGATACAGGTTTCCCCTGGGGCTCAGTCACCCTCAAGGCTCTCGGCCATGATGTGAGCTTTCAGAGATGTAGAGGGGAGCTGTTGCAGAATTTTCTGATGTGCTCAGCTGCCCCACTGGCCCGAGCTGTGGTCTGTTCAGGGAAGAGGTGTGTATTGATAGTTAAGTAAGAGTCATGTAACAATGTGCATTTCCAGCTGGTGACTCAGAGGGTAAAAGAAACTGTTTGCAATGCAGGAGACGGGGTTTGATCCCTGGTTCAGGAAGATCCCCTGGAGAAGGGAATGGCAACTCTCTCTAAAATTCTTGTCTGGAGAATTCCATGGACAGAGGAGCCTGGTGGGCTACAGTCCGTGGGGTCTCAAAGAGTCGGACACGACTGAGTGACTAACACACACACACACACACACACACATGCGCATGTGACTCACATGATTTAGGCTGGACAAACCGTGTACTAAAGTGAGAAGAGTTCAGATTTGGGATTTGGAAGAGCTGGGTCCAAGGGCTGTTCTTGTATCATCCTGAGTAGTGTGTTTCAGTGGCCTCACCTGTAGTTATACAATCTCAGAGGGTTGTTGGCAGCCTGGACTGAATAATGAACCTGAAACCACGTTGTCCGTGACTTTTGCTTCCCACTAGTTTTTCTTTAATAGCCCCATTTTCTTACTTCCGGCTGTGCTGAGTCTGTTGCTGCGCTTGGGCTTTCTCTAGCTGCTGAGAGCAGCGGCCGCCCCTTGGTGCTGGGCGCAGGCTTCTCACTGAGCTGGCTGTTCTTGTTGTGGCGCGGCAGCTCCGGGTGAGTGGGCTTCAGGGACCGCAGCACTCGGGCTCAGTACTCTGGCGCACAAGCTCAGTAGTTGTGATGCATGAGCTTAGTTGCTCCATGGCACAGGGAATCTTCCCAGACCAGGGATCGAACCCCTGTCCCCTGCACCGGCAGGCGGATTCCTATCCACTGCACCACCAGGGATGTCTGTGTATGTACTTAGCCACTCAGTCATGGCCAACTCTCTGGAACCCCCACGGACTCTAGCCCTCCAGGCTCCTCTGCCCATGAGATTTTCCAGGCAAGAATACTGGACTGGATGCCATTTCCTTCTCCAGGGGATCTTCCCGATTGAACCTGTATCTCTTATGCCTCCTGCATTGGCAGGTGGGTTCTTTATCACTACTGTCACCTGGAAAGTCTTCGTTACATCATTGGTAGTTTAGAAAAATTTCTTTTACTTTCCTGTTAATTACTGGAAATGTCTTCTTTTACAATATAAGCATTAGATGGTATAAATTTCCCTGTAAACACTGCTTTTGCTGTATCCCATAAATTTTGACAAATTATATTTCCATTTTATAGCTGCTTTTACTGTCTTCTTTTTATTCTTTTTTTATTTTTTTTTTTGCCATTTCTTTATGTTTTGTAAAGGTGATCTTGCTTGAAATTTGCTGTGATTCCTATGCCTGAAATTTGATGTCTTTAAACAAATGTGGAAAATCTTGACCCATTATTTTCTTGTGAAATATTGCCTTTGCCCCATTTTCTCTGATGTAAATATTTGTTAGACTTCTTGCTCTATCTGCCATGTCTCTTAAGGTTATGTTCACAATTTCCAAACATGTTTCTCAGTGTTGCATTTTAGATAATTTATTTGTATCTATCTTTCCATTCTCTAATTTTCCATTTGGCTGTGGCTCATTTTCTGTTGAGGTTTTAATTTCAATTGCCATGGTTTTCATTTCTAAAAGTTCTCTTTTTCAATTTTGCTTGGTTTTTTAAAAAAGTCTTTTATTTCTTGTTTATATTTCAAGTTTCTCTTTTATTCCTTTAAATGTAAAATTTATATTCTTTGTCTGAAATTCTAATGTCTGAAATACTTGTGAGTCTGATTCAGCTATTATTGTGTCTGCTGATATTCACATAATGCTTTGTTTCTACGTGTCTTTTGTTATGTTTGGCGGTGAGTCTCTCATTTTCCCTGGAACACACATAGGTAATCTAAAATTTTGTAGTAGCTATGTTAAAAAGGTTAAAAGAAGTGAAATTAGTTTTGATAATATATTTTATTTAACCCAATATGTCAAAATTTTATCACTTTACAAGTAGTCAATTAAAAAAATCATTTAAGGAAATATTCTTTTTTTTTTTTTTTTTTGGTACGGAGTCTGAAAAATTCAGTGTGTGTTTTATACTTCCAGCACATCTCAATACAGACATTCATTTTACCAGAAACACTTGATCTATATTTAGGTTCACAAAATTCACAGTTGAAAAAGTAGATTCACATACCCAAGCTGTTTCAAACATACTTGAGTTTTCCTACAATTAAACTGAGAATCAGTTTTTAAATTTAGTAAAATAGAGTAAAAAATTTTAGTTCCTCAGTAGCACTAGCCATATTTCAAGGGCTTGACTTCTACATATGTCTAGTGGCTATTGAATTGACTATGTAGTCTTAGAACAATTAAATTTTGCTCTTGACATTCCAGTTTAGGCATGCTTTCTAGAGTCCAGTCTTTGGCAAATATTGTATAAGTTAGACTTGTGGGTTCTCAGATCTTGGGATCTATTAAAAATATCCAAGTATGGGTCCTCTTGGATTAAAGGAAATGAACTTTTGCAGGTGGGATCTGGCCATGAGTATTTTTTTTAAAACCTTCCACATGATTCTAATGGACAACCTCAGTCAGCTAGGTGCCCTGGAAGATGAATTTGGGGCTAATATTGCAATATGATGCTTCTTATGGTCTGTGCAACCTATCGAAACATGGAAAGGAATCAACTGGTACCAAGTACAAGGCTTGGTACTTTTTAATGCCTCTGTCAGAACTAAAATCTTTAATTTTTTTGTAATTATTTATTTTAATTGAAGGATAATTGTTTTACAATATTTAAAATCTTTTAAAATTTAGACTTGGCTAGTATTCTTACCAGTGGGAGAACTCTATCAATAAGGTTTTCAGTTGCTTTATTACTTTAGAAATAAAAAAATATTCAGCCTTTTAGTCAACATTAAGTTTGCTGTGGTCTTTTGACTTCCAAGGACATGCTGTTGCCATTTTATTTAAAAATGTTTAGAGAAGCTTTCAGTTCTGTGTGAATGCATCTACCTCTACTTATTTGTGAACTGTAAGATCCTAGGGAGATCTTACATGCCAAAATTATAGCACAGCTGCGTCTTGCTAACCTATATTGACATAATAGGTATCACTCTACCATGAGTCACCGCTGTTGATCAGCCAAATTGGTTTTAGCAACACATCTGACCTAACTTGAGTGACATCATTGTGGCTGAGCTAGTTTGGGTGAATTTCATGAGGATCTTCCTGCTCCATGTCTGAACTTGCCAACTGATTGTTTAGATACCTGTCCTAGTTTCAATGGTTGGGCATTTGTATTACATAATTAACTTACTATTCTTATTTCCAGAAACCTAATGATATTTTTTCATTTCACTAATGACATTTTTTCATTTCACTTATTCAATCAACAGAATTTCATGGTGTAGCTACCCGGCTCCAGGCATTATGTTAGGTCTGATTGGCAATTAGGCTTCATCTTGCGTGGCAACCCTAATCATTGATAGCATGGTGTTGAAAAGCATTCTGAATTTCTGCCTAGGCTCAGTGGGAAAGAAAGTCATGAGCAATTAGTCATGTGTGCCATAGACATAGAAGGAGATTCGACTGTAGCCGTAGATTTGATCCCTGGGTTGAGAAGATCCCCTGGAAAAGGAAATGACAACCCACTCCAGTATTCTTGCCTGGGAAAGCCCATGGACAGAGGAGCCTGGTGGGCTACAGTCCATGGGATTGCAAAGAGTTGGACACAACTGAGCATGCGCGCACACACATACACATACCCTTGAATAAAATCTCCAGTTAACCTCCTGTTTTGGTCCATTCCAGCTCATACCATAGACCAGGTAGCTTATAAATAATAGAAATTTAATTCTCAGAGTTCTGAAGGCTGGAAGTTCAAACTCAAATTGCCAGCATAGTGGGTTCTAGTGAAGGACCTGTTCAATGAGGGACAGTTTCTGGGTTGCAGTCTGCCAGCTTCTTGCTATGCCCTCACATGGTGGAAGGGACCTAGGGAGTTCTGTTGGTTCTGTTTTATGAGGGCATCAATCCTGTTTGTGAGGCCTCCACCCTCATGGTCTAATCACCGCTTAAAGGCCACACCACATACTATCATCATATTGAGCTTTAGAGTTACAACACATAAATTTTGGAAGGACACAAACATTCAGACTATAGGGCTTCTTAAGGAAGACCTACCTCTCAATTCTTGATTTGAAGATGAATTTTAAGCCTGAATTTTCTATGTACTGCAATCCCATGAGTTGCAGATTC